TATAGTAATTCAATAGGTTTATCTAATAAAAAAGAACGTAAAAAAGGTTCGTTTAATAATTAGTCATTACTCAATTTTACATATGGGTCAGACTGGTGTACTGCCGAAATATATTATATTCTAGATAGGATTGCAAATGAGCCGAGCTTTTGTCTAACTCGAGCTCAAACTCATTAGAACACATAAGCTTGAGCTCAAACTCAAACTCAACATAGAATACATAAGGTCAAGCTCGGCTCAAACTCGCTACAAGCAATAAATTTATAGCTCAAGCTTGACTGACAAAAAAATATGACAGCTCAAGCTAGAATATATATAATTTAAGAGCTCAACCAGCCAAGCTCAACAAGCCCAATCCACACCAAAAGAAACTAATCATATAGGATTGGAGAAAGCAAAAAATTTAGCCCATATTTTAAGGGCCAATTGTGTTGGACTCTCCACCTTATGTTTATTTAGCAACTACCACCAAATAATTATAGCTTTGTTATTGACTCATAACGGATTACACCGCAAATTAAATCGCGACTAGACCCCAAGTATAAACTCTAGTCGGGTGCAGTATAGGACAAGTATGTTTTAATTGTCAACCCGGGCCGGTCCATGTACCACTACATGAATCACTTAGTTTGTTATCTAGCAAAACGGTTTTGGTTTTAAAAACTAAGAAAAACTAGAAAATAAACAAACAAGGTAAATCGAGATTTTCCTAATGAGAAAAGAGTTCACCAGGGTATTGCTACCCCTAGCTACATATCAAGATCGACCAAATCGAATGCAAATGTGTGGAGGTCTGTTCATACACCGTTAGGAGTGCGCAATAGGTGAAAGAAACCTCACTCTCTTAATTAATCGGTTAAGGAAAACAATTAAGCTAGGAACCTTAGCTCTCTCAATCAATGGATTAAGGATTGCTACAATAAACTAGGGAGTCTAGCTCTCTTAACCTTTCGGGTAAGGATTGCAACAATAGGAGTCCTTGCTCTCTTAACCGATAAAACTAAGGGTTGCAAGAATCGATCCTTCGGAACTTAATCCGGACATCAAAGTAACACCCAAGTTAAAGTGCTAAATTGAAGTTTGAGGGTTGACCTAATTTTCCCTAGGTAGGTGACTCAATTAGCCAAGGAATCCAGTTTATCAGAACCTCCTAATAAAAAGGGGAATTCCCTCTACCTAGATCAAATTCGCACAATAATGAGAAATGAAGAACACAACCCAAGCATCAGGAAAATACCTCAAACTTTGCATTAAACACAAACCCACACACATAGCATTCAATCCATACAATGTATCACCTATTTCAAGCTAGGGTTCATAACACCCAAGTGAGTAGGTAGGCTATTCCATAGCTAGGCAAGGGAAAACAAGAAAAAGGAGAGAAAGAACCATGAAGAGATGACAATCTTCCTTCCTTGTTGCTTGAATCTCCATTGAGAGGTAAGGATATTCACTTCTCTAGTTTAGGATAAGCCCAATCTCCTTCTTCCTTTGAATGACACTTTCTCTCTCTAGAATAGGAATAGGAAACCCTAATCTCTCACTAGAAACCCTCCTTTATTCCGAAAAATAAAAACCTACCATAAAGCCCCATTTCTCCTTCAGCTGACTTCCCCCTTTTATACCCAGATCGGGCTCAGATCACGGTCCCAGTTCATGGCCGTGAACTCAAGGCGGGGACCTTAATCTCGGGCCAAAACGCGCTGCTTCACTAACTCAGTTCACGGTCATTGGCTTGAGTTCACGTTCTTACGATCGTGAACTGGATTTAGTCCAGTGAGACCGAAATCTGTTGTGGAACCTCCTCACTTCACAGTCTAGGGGAAATTGCCACGGTCTAGCGACCGTGACAAAGGCATCCAAACCGTGACTTTGGACTTTTCTTCAGTTTTCACGCTTTTCGACCTCCAATCGACCCGAAACTCGTCCTCCACCTTCCCACACATGATAGGACCAGAAATATGACAAAGCATTGGTTTGAGTGAGGTTTGTTTGGGGACAAGCAAACGGTTAAGTGTGGGGAATTTGATAACGTCGTATTTTCACATGTTTGCACCCTCGTTTCTTGATCGTTTTTGCTTGAGTTTGTGCTTTCTTGGACTATTTTACGCTAGGTTGTGTTCCTTTGTCACGTTTCAAGCCCTAACGCGTAAAGTGAAGCATATGCGCAATTTTCAAGTAAATCGGAGATCAATTGGCAATTCGAGAGAAGAAACTCGGGCATGACCTGAAGAATAATATATATCTACCTCAATTTATGGACAATGAATCATGTAAGCTTGTCATGAAAAGAAAGAGGACGAGACTACGAGCATGTGGGATCAAAAGTCGACTGATTCAGAGTTCGGACGAGGAAGAAAGGAAGCATCAAAGACAGTGGAACAAGAGCTGAGGAAGAAACACGGGTAAACTTCACTAATAACACGGATGTGTTTCGTCTAGCACTTGAGAGTGTTTTTTTATGCCTAGCCTCTCTTGTGAAGACTGGTGAAGGGATGCAAAACACGGGCGGGACTAAAGACGGGCATGACTAAACAAGGTCGGGTTCCTAACCGTGTTTCTGCCCCTGCTTGGGTATAAGTCTGATTTCTGCGATTTTAGAAGGGGAGAGCTGGGTTTTGGTTCCCAAACACCAAAGGGACGAATCCTAGAGAGAGAGAGTGACTTGGGATCATTTTTGGAGCTATTTTGGAGGATTTCTTCACCATTGGAGCTCGTGAATCAAGCCTGGACATGAAGATTGAAGATCTGGAAAGTTATACTACAATCTCTCTCTTCTCTATGGAGTATCTTCCCATCACATAGGTTTTGAGGAACCCTAGTTCCATGTGTTAGGATCTTTCTTGTATGAACCGTAGATGCTATAATGTTTTATTATAATTGACTGAGGCATGATTTATTGAGTCAATTGAATCCTGATCAAATTCTCTTCATTTCTACTTTAACCTTTGATAGATAGAATCTGAGTGGGTTAAGAGAGCTTTCTCAATTTGTAGTAGGGAATTGATTGTACGAGAGTCATTCAATTTACTGCTTTCTATTGAAATTCATTCCATTAGTGGAGATCTTTTTGTATTGCCTTAGCTTTGTACTCCGGTTGAGGTTAGTCGCTCACCGAGTATTCTGTCTAAGAGGGCTTTGTCAGCTTAAGAGATTCAAAGCTATTATCGGATCTTTTGTGGTTTAATCAACAATAAAGCAAACAAAGGGAATTACAACTTGGACCTAATTGAGGAGCTAGGGGGAATCATACTTAAGTGAGTTCTCAGCCTGTAATCAGTAGTTTAATCTTAGTTTAGTTAGTAGAGTAGTTTAGTAAATTAATCTTTAATCTGGTTTGCTAAATAATGAACTGAAATTAAGTGATAGTAACTCTAGAGACACGTGGATTCGATATTTATTACTTATGCCACTATACTGAGTCCCTTTCATTGGTTACACTTGGCCATTGTTAGGTGTTGTGTCGTAGTGTGTCAACATGGTAAGTTATATGTTTGTTTCCCTATTGGTATAATTATTTCTTTTCACTATTGTTGCTGGGACTAAAATATATTTTTGGACATTGTTGCTAGCATGCCGGATTATTGATGGCATTAATCCTTTGCTTGGTGCTCCTGATGAGGATATTGAAAATGGGTGCATACGGTGATATGATTCGACAGGTTCGTGAGATGTTCATCGAGTTTAGACGACAAAGACCTTACCGCCCGCTTACTTTCTAGTTTTTTGTTTCTCATGTTGACACTTTGTTTCATTTATGTTTGGATTTTTGGATACTTAGAGGTTGGAGGTTTGATATTTGAATGTTGGATATTGGATGCTTGATGTTTGGATGTTTAGATATTTAGATGTTTGGATATTTCGATGTTTGATGTTGGATATTTGGTGTTTTTTATGTTTTTAGTTTTGCCTCTGCAAATTCATTCCATGCCTCTGCATTTTAATTCTGCCTCTGCAAATTCCTTCCATGCCTCTGCATTTTAATTTTGCCTCTGCAAATGCCTATTGCGTCTCTGTGGTCTTTTTGTGCTTGTGTAACTACACTAAATATGTTCTCCAGAATTAAAATCTTCAAATGATTGGCAACAACTTTTTACACTAAATATGTCCTCCGAGAATTAAAATCATCAAATGACCATCCGGGTGATATAATAAAAAAAACCAAATATGCAACAAGTTTTAATCAACTCCTACTCCTAATCGTATAGTTCATACCAATCTGGAATTGATGTGATATCACGAAACTGCATCCACTGTGGACTGAAAGGAGGCATTGGCATCACCCCATTGATATTGCCAACCTCTAAACGCACCCAGTGCATCCCAGTAAAGACCAGTGTCAGTATATAACTAGGTTGAGTGAACCCTTCTGGCGCTATAAAAGGTAAGGTGGTGTACCCATACGTCTGACGGCCTCCCCACACTCCATGTACGACAATCGCCCAGTTGTACATTGTTGCAAATGCTAGCAAAGCCACCTCCTCGAACCAATACTCTTGAGTGCAGCTTCCAGAGGTCCAATAATCCAACTTGTGATTGACAACAATGGTATAAAAATGCACAAATAGAAAAATAGGCAATTCAATTATGAATCTATAGAAATGTAACTTTGTAATCAACTTGCGAATTACTGCCTCCTTTGATCCGTCTCTAAAAAGGTAGACTCCCTCATACAAATCCCAACAATTAGTGATTTCTGTTATAAGATCTTGCCTCATTTGTAAGCAGTGTCCCTCACCGTTATGAATCGCATGTGACATGGCCCTAAAACCACATTGCCCGTCTGGATCTGGGTCAAACCAACCACCAACAAGATGGTGGATACTAGTTGGGACATATCGGAGGGACGGGCAAACATTCCTCTCACTGTGAACTTGCATATGCTGACTTTTCGAGGAACCACCTTTTTGGATGCAAAATAACTAATATAAACGGCCACAAAATAGAAGCTTTGATACTTAAGGAATATAAGAATGTTACTAACATGTACGGGTTGTCCTCTATGTCCTCGGATCCCGACTTGTTATGCTTTTCTTTGCCGAGCGTCCCCTCTCATGCTCACACCAAGAAGGATCTCGCGCATTATTCCTCCTAGGAGGTCGTCCCTTTGGAGCCTCGGACTTCCTAGGCTCTTGTACTCCTTCGGCTTGTGGAAGAAAATGAGAGCGTAGTATTTGAGATGCCTTTCGGATAGCAGTTAGTCCTTGCCGATAAACATCCTCCACCATGGCTGCAAAAATGTCACGCTCAATGGCATCATGGTCTTCCCATTCTGCGCGATCAGGAGGACTCTCATATACCAAAGATGACCAGAATCAATGTAAGTTGTGAGGGAACAACTCAACGCCGGTAACACTATATTCATCCATCAAACATTTGCATTGTAGACCATGTGTCTCATTACCTCCCTACACACACTTAAAGAACACAACACGTCTAGCACAAGCAAACACTTCACAACTTAACAAAACATAAATTAAAAGCTAGATTAACACCATACAAACTTTTCACGTTAAAGGACCGAAGTCCCCGACAACGGTGCCAAAAACGTGACTCGCCCTGACTATCACAATTAAATCCCACCTAAGGTCCAAGTATAAACCTTAGATGGGTGCAATATAGGGCAAGTATGTATAAATATCAAACTGGGCCGGTCCATGTACCGCTACTTCGACTATTTGAAACATTATCTAGCGAATTAGTTTTGGTGAAAACAAAGGTCTAAAACTATATTGCTTTGCAAAGGTAAAATGGATTTAACACTAGCTGAGAAAGCTTCACCCGGGTGTTGCTCCCCCTAGCTAACAATTACGACTTGAAGAATCGAACGGCCATGTGTGGTTAGGGGGTTATAAACCGCATGGAAGTCTAACAAGCAGCCAAAGCTACCCTCTTAGCCTCTAGGTTGAGGAATGAGATACGATCTAAGCCACTAATGTGACCCTCTCAACCTATCGACTAAGGAATGGTTATACTTCACCCTCGAATTGGAGTTCGGACGACCACCCACAACCAAACCCTAAGTGCTAATACAAAATAGGAGGTTTGCCCTTAACTAACCTAGAATAGGAGGCATAAAATGGCCAAGGAAACCCATCTCTAATAGAGCGTTTTAGGCTAAGGAGAGTTCTCTCTAAACTAGCTTAGGAGGCATTGAATGCCCAAGGAAAACCAGTTCAAATTGAGCCTCTTTGGATAAAAGAGGTTTCCTCTCTAAACTAGCATAGGTGGCATGAAATGCCGAAGAACACACATCTCCAATGGAGCCTCTTAACCTAAGGAGGTCTCCACTCTAAGCCATGTTAGAATGACAATTTGATTGATAGGCTTTCACACAACACAATCATTTTTGAATAATACCTCAACATTCACATTAAAACACAACCACACACAAATCATTGAATTCATACAAGCATTCACATAATTGTAGCTAAGGTTCACAAACACCCAAGTGAAAGAAGGGACTACTCCATGCTAGGAGAAGGGAAAACACAAAAGAGGGAAAGCAAAACCATCAACAAGGGTGCAAGCCTTGCTCCTTGTGCTGAAGATATCCTCTTTTGGGGGAGGAATTCCCAAATCCTTGCTTGGAGTGGCAAGCCATTTCTTAAAGGAGGAATGAGCTGACTCCACCCCTATTTGTGCTCGTGTTACCAATATGGAAAACATTATTTGTGTAGCAATGAGCCCACCTTTGAGCACATGGTTTCCATTCACCTCTCAAGTAGCTCATCAACTCGGGAATTGTACCCTAGTGACCATTTTGTAATTCTAGCCAACGTCGTTCGAACCCTGCTTATGATTTGGCATTCAAGATTCCCCCCATGGACCTTTTAAAAATGCCTCAGTGGTATCTCTACTCATCCCCATAGACGTCATTTTGGCTTCAATGTTCCTCTTCATATGCCAAATGCATAATAAATGTGCCGAAGATGGAAAGATCTCGTGCAAGCAGACACCCTCCCTCCTTATCGGTGACGAAAGCATCCGGTATTCGACCATCAAGCACAATCTTCAATTGCCTCAAAACCCAAGCATATGTCTCCTTCTTTTCATCTGAGACCAACGCTAACCCAATGTTGAAGTTCTTCTTTACCGGAGTAACACCAATCAACTTGTATCTCGAGTCTATCAAGGTAATAAAATACCATGCACTCAACATTCGAATCGATTCCAGATGGCAAAAGAAGAGTCTATTAGCATGATGCTCATCATCGTACTTACACTCGACGAAGTAGCCAAGACATTGAGCTTTTATAATGTCCACTACATAGGTTTCATGACATCCAATCTCTCAAGCCTAATCTTTGTTGTCTCGTTGTAAACCTGCTGCATATGGTGATGAGCATCATACTTCCTATTGACAAAACTCCTCATGTCTTTCGCCTCAGTATGTGTTGTCTCCATCTCTTTCAACTTTGTTTTTTCCTGCATTCGAGAGAGAATTCCTTTGCTTACTCCCTTCAGAATAAATCTCCAATTCGTGACTATGAAATCCCCTCGACTTCCCAGGATTTTATTTGTCCGCAACACCAAAAATTCTCCCCTCGCCCTTGCCATCTACCAATGTGCCCAGCACTACCACTCGAAAACGCACTCTAAATTGCCCGATTTAGATTTGCGCCTTGTCTTCGCTGAATCACGGGTATATGATTTGCTCCTTCTATGGTGGTTGCAATCCATATATACCCGCGTATATATTTCTCCATTGCTAGTGTTTTGCTTAATTGATGTGATGACCAAGAAAAACCTATTCTTTTGGGCAATCTCCTTTGTCGCTGCACAAGCAGCATCTTGGCTATCATAAACGTTTTCTGTGAACAATGATGGGTAATCATTATTGTCACCCTCATCATCTCCAGAACCTCCCTACAAACAATATACAGTAAAAACATACACGATTTAGTCATGCAAGAATAATGTTTCTATAAGTTAACTAAAATACAAACAAATGGAGTACTTATCGAATCACACATAACTACCTCCTTGTGTTATTTAATTGTGGTGGCGAAAAGAATATTAACTTCTACAAGGTCGGTCCTCCCCTAATAAGCACAAAAAAGTCAACTTTTAGTGAAAATATGTAATAGAATAATCTAGGTGAATTTATCGAAAAAAACTGTCCAAAATATCACGAAATTCGACCGAGACATGTCAAAAATCTGACTTAGCCGATTATCAGACGGGTTAAAGATCGGGGTATGCCTACTATGACATGCATGTCACCGTAACATGGACTTTTCGGTCGACCTAATCCTGAAGGCGGTCGACCGAATTGACTAATTTGGGCAGCACGAGAAAGCATTGCGGTCGACCTCAACGACCACGTGGTCGACCGCACTTAGTTTAAGTTGTTATTTTTTGTGGAAATCACGCATTAGAGAAAATGACGACGAATGCTACATTAGGTCGACCTCACCTTAGACGTGGTCGACCACTTTCGACACGTATAACAGCAACCGCGAACAATCTTCTTCACAAAGGCTCTAAATCGAAAAAAAAACCTAATTCAGACTTTTGGTGGCGTTGAAGGGAACTTATATTCGTATTTATAGAGATTTAGGACGTGAATGGGTCGACCCAATTCGTTTTCTTGTCCAATTGTGGAACCTTTTTGCTGTTGGAATCCTTATCCAATACGGATACGGTGTGCATGCGGTCGACCTCTTACTAATGAGGTCGACCTGATAGGTGCACAAGGGTCGGCCTATGAGGTATTTGAGTTGACCTTTCATTCTGTTATACCACCAAAGAGGTCGACCATTTTATGTAGACGGTCGACCGCGTCTCTGAACCTCACATAACTGAATTTGTCAATTCGGTCGACCGCCTTGTGGATTAGGTCGACCGAAAAATCCATGTCACGGTGACATGCATGTCACCGTAGCAAAATCCTAAAGATCGGCCTCGTCGTTGGACGAAGCATGTTTAAAATTTGCCTCTCCATGGGGCAGGCATGTTGAAAATCTGCCTATTCGTGGAGCAGGCATGTTGAAAACATGCCTGACGGGTGGGTTAGACACGTTTTCGACCAGCCTGGTCCGTGGTCGGGGCCGATTTTCAACCTGTCTAGTACAATTTTTCAAAAAAAAAAAAATGAAAATCTTACCTTAAATCCGACCACTGGTCTGCGATGCCTATATGGATTGATGAAAGTTCTTGCTCCGGCGACCTCGCCGAAATGCGACGAACACTCACCAATAAAAAAGATTGTTATGAGTTTTAGTGTTATATGGTGTTTTGATTTTAGTTTTTGGGTGGGTTGTGTGTTCTTTTTTGAGTGAACAAGGGTTCAATTCAAATGTCTTGGATTTTACTATCCAAGAGGTTTGAACCCTATAATTAAAACAACGATTAGATAATTTGAATATACTTTAGGGCGATAAATTCAAAAAGTTAGGGCGTAAAATAACAACTCTCTTATATTCTGTGTAGACTAATAAAAGCACAGAACTGCAAAATGACGCAATTTAGTGGGCAAGCGATCGTTACTCACCCTTTTGTAGTTTATGACTAACTAGCTAATCGCATCCTTTGGAAGGAAACATGGAAGTGAGGAAGGTGGAAGAAGCAGTACCATTATTGGCGAGCGAAGAACAAGCAACAGATAACACAGAGGGCAAGGCACACAATTTGTGGGCTATGCCATTATTCATTTGCACCTTATCGACTACTATGTTATTTTTCCTAATGGGGCTCATAGAATTTAAGAAAATCTTTACTGACCGACCAATTTTGGCTGTTTTTTATCAGTTTCGTATAGTAATGGTGACGGTCTTTCCTCTTTTCCTAGTCGTTATTGCCCTTCAGTTGGGTAAAACGGCTCCAGGATGTGTCTGGGGACATCGTGCTAGTTCCGTTGACCTTATCATTGCCATACTCATCTCTCTAATCGTTGGCTATTGTTCTTCTGACAATCGTACTAGGATGAAGTGATGAACATGTATGTGGTGTTTGTATTGGTAGCTTTAAATATCCAAACCCACTTCTTCGTTAAATGTCGATGGAAGGTTTTGGATTATGGTGTGAGCGACATAATGGTGGCAATAGTGATGCAGATGTTTGCTTTCTACAATGTGATTATGCTCCTTCATGGAAAGTCCACCTTACAAAGCTACGGATTGGGATTTACTATCGCCACATATTCTTCGTCACAATGGTGCCTTGTGGAGTAGCAGTGTTTTACACATTCTCTACTGATCCAGTTTTAGATAGACTTGAAGATCTTCAAAATTTTCTTTCTTGTGGTTAGTTTGGAATATCTATTCTCGAGTCACTTTTTTAGTATTACCTAAATTCTTCGGTACAATCCCGAGACATGGCCCTCTTGTTTTACACATTCTCATCTCGTGACACGACCGTGGATATCTCGTTCATAACAATGGTCCTCTCGCTAACTTAACGATTTGGGCTTAAAAATCAAGATCCTTAAGCCCCAATTTAAATAACTTTAATTTTTATAATTAAACGCTTCTCATAAAAAAGTATGAATTATCTGGTAAATACTCAATGTTTACTGGTGTAATTGTTTAGGGGTAAACAATACCAATAAGGTTGCAGCAAATAGAATTCTTGGAAACTATCTGCTGCTTTGTTTAAGGCAGATTGCAAATTATATATGCAGCTAGTGGATCTACTTTTTCTAGCCCAACTTGGGAGGGGAATAGTTGACATTGGAACATGGATTAGTTAGAGTCTCCATCATGGAACACCTCAATCAGTACGTTGACTTTTGATTCAATCTAGCAGCCCTTGTCATTGAGGGCTGTGGGAATCATGGCTTTTATTTGGAAGGGTAGCAATCATGAATTCCTTTTTGTTTGGTAACCTAATGAACAACGCCATGAATACGACAGTAGTTAGTACTAAGTACCTTGCATAAGCACAACAAAATTGTTTATGCGGTAACATGTCACTTAATCATCGCACTCGAATATGTAACAAACTATATGTATATATAAACTCTGCTCCTGACAAGCAAGGTTTGAATTCCTTCCGCTTGCTGGCTTTCCCCATGATGATAAGGAAGTCGGCCGCCATCGCGCTGTTGCTGGTTCTGCATCTTCTTGCTGCTGATATTCCTTCATCCTCTGCCCTCCGTCCTTATGGTAATCAATATATATTACTGGTAAATTCATTTCCCCATTTCCTTCACTTTCTGTTAGGCTGACTTTAGCTTTTCGAATTGCTCAGGTTGTTGGGTGGTGACTTCACTGCAAGCTCATTACGGGAGAGAACAAAATGGTGGTAGGAAGGCTGGAAATGGTGGAGATACAGAGATTCAGGGCAAGAACTCTGCGGCCTTCCGGAGCTTAAGAACAATTTTGCCCAAGAGAGCGCCACCTCCACCGATTGTTAATAAGAAGAAGTCATACAATGCATTTTCCAACCCTTCCAACTAACGTCTGATGGATTTGATTGATTTCCCCAGTTTATGATGGATGCTTATAGATCATTTACTACCTGCTGTATACTGCTGTACACAAAATATGCATAAAGAACAGTTTTAACTTTTACAACCCCTTCAATCTGCTCTCAAGGCTGAATTACCAGCTTGTGCAACCTCAAATAGATGTTTAAATGTGCTGCACAAGACCATCAATGGAAACCCCTGCATTCCCATGGATCCTTTTCTATCTTTCCATTCAAAGGAAAGCTCACTGTCAAGTTCCACACCAGCCGTCCAACTTTAGCCAAAGCAGTCTTCCGTGCAAACCTACGAACAGCTCAGGGAACTTACCTTCACGGCCATCTGCAAGCTTGTATGCAAAACTTCAGCAGAATATCAACATTGAAAGAAAAAGTGTGCCTCAACAGACAAACATCATTATCTACTTTACCCCATAGCCAGAGCTTCTCCGCTATTGCAATCCTGTCTTTGATCAGTAGCTAATGAATGAAGCTATGCCTCTATATCTGATAGTTCAACCAAAAAACCAAATACGACCATGGGACAGGGGAAGTTACTGGCTGTGGCTTGAAATCAGACCAAACAAGACTTACTGACTACTTAGTCATTCTTCTATAATTTTCTAAGATCTGAGTACCCAACCAAGTGACAAATCTCTCCACCTTATCCCTGATTTTTCACAAGTTTTTTCCAGATCCAAGAACATTAGCTACTAGCATTCAGTTCCCAAAAGGAAGCACCCCTTTATTCTGTATAAATATAATCCAAATGTGCCTAGGTGAACATGCTAATAGGAAGCACCCTTTATTCTGTTTATTCTAAGTTTACAATCACTGTCAACTTAGACTTAAATAGAAAAGAGAATATCATACTATCGACCACTATGTCTAAATTCACAGTATGTAACAGGCAAATATATGATTTGTCGAGCGGATAAACTTTCGTTATACATCAACTAAAATGGCTAAAAATCAGTGACGAGAAAATAATTCATAAATTTACTTCATAGAACTATAATTAAACTAAAAATTGGTATATAAAATATGGAAGCTAACTGATTAACTTTCCATGATAAAACTATAATTAAAACTAAGATGTATAATATATCGTGAGGCTGAATTATTAAATTAACTTGATAAAACTATTGGGTTAATACAATTAGAGAACCCGAACTATTAAGAAAGTGTTATTTGTGTTCCGAACTATTTAATATTCAATTTGTCCCAATGTATGATAGTTGTGTGTCATTATGTCCACGCGATTTCCTTAACCATTATAACGGTTAACGAGACGGTGGTCAAATTGATTTTGACTTAGCAGCGGAATCGACGAAGCGATTAAGACGATTTGAGAATTTTCGTAACTTTTTGTTTTTTATTTTTCTTATTTTAATAATTTTAGATGAAAATAGAAATTAAAATTAATATTTAAAATTTCATATCAAATGCCACGTCGACACTACCTGAATTTTCTGTTAAATATTGACGGTCAAACTCGATTAATGCTAACGAAAAAATAGTTCATGATATAAATGTCATATTGAATAGTTTGGTATACAAGTGATACTTTCTTTAAAGTTCGGGTTTCCCACTTGTATTAGCCCAAACTATTATTAAACAAAAGAATAGGTATACGAGTCTAAAAAGTGAGACTTTTGGGAGTTGAACCCGCGCCCATTAACGGTGAGAAGATTAACATTAACTAGACCTGGAAAATTACAACCCGACCCGTTGACCCGACCCGAAACCGCCCGAAAACTATAAATTTTTGTAACCCGAAATCCGAATGATCCGAACCCGATAACCCGTGATTTTTTGGGTCGGGTTGGGTGGGTTAGCCGGTCGACCCGTTAAACCCGTTCTATTTTATATATCACTCCCAAAATGATAAAATCACTCATAAATTGATGAGATGTTTAAAAAAGATCACAAGGATTTGAATGACATGTTTTGGAGTTTAAGGATAATCAAATATCATGTGTTTCTTGTAGTATTATTACTATTGTGATTGTTTTATGACGATTTGCGCAATTTGTGTTTCATTTCATTAGCGTGAGAGGATTTGAGAATATGTTAATTGACATGTGTTAGGTAAACTATTGTCATGCATGTGTGAAAATTTGTGTTCTGTAAGAAAATATGAAGCATGTTTGATATTATTTCTGAGAACGCTCATAACCCGAAATGACCTGTAACCCGACCTGAAACTGAATGGATTAGGTCAATATTTGACCCAAAATTAGCCAACCAAACATGACCCGACCCGTAACCGAAGTCACCAACCCGAAATTACCCAACCCGACCCGATTGCCAGGTCTAACATTAATATTTTGTTTACTATGAAATTATCATACTCGATAACCAACTGCTTCTAATCCTTCTTCTGTACACAAATTACGTACAACTTGCCGACTCCCGTAAATAATGAAGAAGGTGGCAACTTGGTATGAAGTAATTTTTGTTTGGATTGAGGACAACTTGGAAGTAATTTCTTTTTTGTTAGAATGACAACTTGGGTTGTTGGAAGTAGGGCTGTTAATGAGCCGAGTCGAGCCGAGCTTTGCCATAGTTCGGGCTCGGCTCGTTAATATATTTTCAGGCTCGAGCTCGACTCGTGTTTGTCATGAGCTTTAATATACAAGTTCGAGCTCGGCTCGTTTATGAAAATGAAAGCTCGAGCTCAACTTGAGCTCGGCTCGTCAAATAAGTTTAACGAGCCCAAAATCGAGTTCAGCTCATAAAATGTTCATGATAGCTCAAAATTGACCTAGAACTGCGCACAAAATTATATTCAAATCTGTAGCAAAATAAAACACAATATTTATCCCAATTTCAATACATAAAATCCATGAATTCTAATTCTTTTTTAATGTCAAACCATTAAATGAGCTTGCTTGCGAGCTTTCGAGCTGAACATGGTATGGCTCGAGTTCGGCTCGTTTAGATTACGAGGTTGTTCGCGAGCCGGTTTAGATTACGAGCTCGTTTAGATCACGAGCTTCTCCTCGAGTTGCACACCGAGTCGTTCATGGGCGGCTTGGTTCATTAACCGCCCTACTTGAAAGTAACATATATTTTTTTAAGAATGACAACTTGTTAGTTATTTCTTTTTCCGTGCGAGTATGTGTTCAGTCTTTCCCCCGGGTTTTGGGAGTCTGTATTTATCCAAACTGAACTCGTTATGTGAGGTGATGAGTGAGGTTTGATTCACCGTTTCCGGAAGTTGTGGATCTATATATGGCTTTCCCTTAGTTCCCACTCAACCTCTACGTCCTCTTCAACTCCTTGAGAAACGGCCCCGCCAAGTCAATGCACGCTGCATCTCTTCTCTCTGTTCAGCTTCAGCATGAGAACTCAACTTCCACCACCATTCACCCTAGCGCGCTCTATATGTATAAACATGCATTCTACTCTCCCATCATCCATATTACAACAATACACACACACAAAAATATTCATCACAAATCCATAATTCACAAACCTACGTACCCAACGATGGCTTCCACCAAGACATGTCACGGCCGTCTCCAGTTCATGGTAGCAGCAACCTCTTCCATCATGTTAATGTCTTCACTCTGTCACCACTCCCATGCTCAGAACTCGGCGCAGGACTACGTGAACGCCCACAATGCTGCTCGAGCCCAGGTTTGTGTCTACAGTATATAATATATATTATCGTATCAGTATGGTATATGACTAGTAATAACACGTTTCCTTAAATTCTATTTGTAAGGTCGGGGTGGCCAACATCACGTGGGACGCGACGGTGGCTGCATACGCCCAAAACTACGCCAACGCCAGGATATCAGACTGCAGCTTGGTCAAATCGGGCGGTCCCTACGGGGAGAACCTAGGCAAAGGAAGCAGCTCCGTCTTCACCGGGACCGCCGCCGTGAACCTCTGGGCGGCGGAGAAACCCTACTACGACTACGCGTCGAACGCGTGCGTGGGAGGGCAGCAGTGTTTGGATTACACGCAGGTGGTGTGGGCGAACTCGGTGAAGTTAGGGTGCGGCAGGGTTCAGTGCAACAACGGCTGGTGGTTCGTCACTTGCAACTACGATCCCAAGGGCAACGTCCCTGCCCAGCGCCCTTACTGATTAATTGAAGGAAGGAATGCCTCATAATAGTTACATATGTTTAATCATCCCCACCGAACTCATAAGCTATAATAATATAAATGTAGGGCACGTGCAACCCAAATAATAATAGTAATGATGCATATATATGATATTCCATCATCTTATATATTCAGTCATTATTATGCTTTCAACCGATAATGTATTTTTAATTTTTGTTTCCATGGGATAGATGTGTGATGATTGTAACTATATGAGTTGCTCCATAATGGAGAGTTTAAATTAAATCAAAACAAGAATTTATAATTTCAGTATCACTTTATCCATACGCTTCTTTTGTACCAAAAGTAGTTTCATGCTAAAGGTCGCCCTTAAAATTGCTAAAGGTCGCCCTAAAAAGAATCAAAGTTACACTTTTACCCCCTTAGCTTCTTTACCTTCCCTTAATCAAACAAACACCACTTGGACTAAAAAAACACTATCTAAGAAGAGAAAAATCCATCATCGTCATTTTGAAGCCGATATCGTCGGAGTAGCGACTCCGACAAGGTAAATACATTAACTGAAAAACGAAAAAAAAAGGGAACCGCAAATCACCTGCGGTTGGACCATGGCTGGACCGCAAATGACCTGCGGTTGGACCATGGCTGGACCGCAAATCACCTACGGTTCAGCCATGGTCCAACCGCAGGTCAATTGCGGTCCACCCATGGTACAACCGCAGGTGATTTGCGGTCCGGCCATGGTCCAACCGCAGGTCACTTGCGGTTGGGCATTTTTTGGGTTTATTTTTTTCGTTGAATAATTTTCTATTTTTTATATGATTTATGATTTTTTCGTTTGAATTATTAATAATGGATTATTAATAATAGAGCACATAAAGTAATTAATTTAAGATTTCCATGTAATCATTATTTACGTTACGTTCTATGTAATCATTATTTACATAAAAGTAAATAATTAATTAAGGTAAAATTATTAATAATTAAGTAGATAAACGAATTACTTTTAAATTTTGATTATTAAAATGTTTAATTTTTTTATTATGTTCTTTAAATTTGTTATCATTAATTAACATTTATCGAAAACGTTTTTCAAATTTTTATATCATATAACTAATTTTTTATTATTAATAACA